AATTTGGCTAAAGAGCATGCAGACCTTGGATCAACAAATAACTTGCAGTTAAATCGATAAATTGGTTTGAAAATAATTGGGAAGCTTAGCCGTAAACGTTGGGTGTTGGTTTGGGCCAAATAAGAAGAAAATGTCTTCCATTATCATAGGTTTATTATTCATTAAAATAATTACGGTGGTTCTAAAATTAAAATTATGATTAGCGTTAATTAATTTAATTAAGGATTAAAAGTGCAAATAATTGTTTCTTTGGTAAGTTGCTACAAAGAAAAGGTTTAATAGAAGTTTTGCTAATTATAGTTTATGTAATAAATGTGATAATAGTCATAAATTTGTGATGCATATCTTTAAAAATTATGATTTTTTTAAATATTTTGTTAACTTCAATTCTAAGAGTTGAGAATAAACAGTTGATAATAGTAAAATTTTATTAAAAAAAAAGTATTTATTGTATTTTTATAACTTTAATATAATAATTTTATTTTATTTATAAAAAATTTATATTTGTAGATGTTTATTCTTAACCTTTAAGATTAACAAAATTCTTTCTTTTAATATTCAAAATAACTTCGTTCTTGATGATTTATAAGCTATAAGCTGCTTTTTTCAATTTGAGTTTGATTGGTTGACTTGCTTTTTAAATTTTAAAAGTTATTTGTATAAATGATATTAACTATTAAAATGTTCAATTTGGAATTACTCTTTCACTTTTTTAATTAAATAGGGATGATTGAATTTTTAATAGAAATTATTGAATTTAAATGATTTTTTGGTTCATTCTTAACAAACATATTTTTAATATAACTTCTATTATTTTTTTCTTTTGAAGACTTGAGCAACCAGAAGATCCTTATTGACCGATCTCTTCCTCCTTTCCATAAATTCAAGCTTAATGTGAGTGGTTCTATCTATAAATATTAAGAGTTAGCTACCTGTAGAAGTCTTATTAGAGATTATTAATGCAAATTTTGTGTGGGTTTTGTCACGAAACTAAACTCTTGTTCGGTTATTGCCTCAGAGTTATGGGTTCATCTTTTGGATACTAGGTTAATTAAAGACTTCAATTTAGAAAATGTTTTAGTTGAAATAGATTATAAATTCAACATTCTATTAATTAATTATAGTGTTTTCATAAAAATAGGTTATATTTTATTATTAAAGAAATCTCTTTGCTCATAAATTTCACTATAATTGTTAGCTTTTATCATGTATTTAAGAAAATTATTCATTTTGTAAATTAATTCGATAATTGGGCCTTTGATAGGCCGAAAAATAATCTTGATTTACAATTTTCCTCCCAGCTTATCCACATCTTTAAAAAGGATAATGGAGAATTTTAATTTTCCATATTATTCAAGTAATCTTTGTTTTATTTAGGTTTATGCTCCGTTAATAAAAATAGATACAAATAATATAAAGAGAAGAAATTAGAGTCATACAAATTTAACTACCACAACTTTAAAACATGATAAAATTCAATAATTTATGTTTTAGTTTTTTAAAATATAGATAAACTCCGATAGAAAGATGTATATAACTTTTATTATCAATATTAGATTTTAAGTCAATGAGTTGAAATATCAGAGTTTTAAAAAAATATATTTCTATCAACTACTCGAGTTTATACAACTAAATACTAATTAAAATGTTTTAAAGTTAGCATAAACTACTTTTATTATTTATCATAATATACTAAAACTTTTTAGAGCTATACTCCTCACGTTTAGTGTTATTAATTAAATAAAATTATGAAAGTTATAATTTAGAAAAGTATAAGAACATGTTCAGTAAACATGATAAAGTAAGAAGATAAAATATGCTAGTTGAATAAAAATAATAAAAAAAATAAAATATCATTTTATTTTAATATATGTTACGACATAAAAGTAAATAAGCATATGTTATTTTATTAAATATTAAAAAATAAGATATAAATTATATTTAAATGATAAATTTTTATTAAAAATAATATATTTTGTTTCTGCTGACATAATATTAAATTTGAAAACCTATACTATTTAATAAATTTTGATAAAACGCAATGTTCACAAATACATAATTCTGGTCGCACGGAGACACCGGTCACGACTCACAAGACAAAAATTGACGAATCCAACGTCGACGAGACACGGAGACGGAATAACTCTACGTGGGCCACAGTAGCACATACGAGGGGGGCGCGAGCATAGAAGCACGTCAGCGAAGACGACGACCGGAAGACGGAGCATTAAGCACAGCAGTGGGTAGCGGCGGCTCTAGTTTGAGGCTTCTCGTTTTACACTTCACGATTGAAACTATAAAAGAACAGGAGAATTATCGAAGCCATTCAGATTCAGATTTCTTCTAGTTTAATAAATTAAGTTTTAAATAATATTTTCATCCTTATATTTTGCTTAAAATTGTAATTTAGTAGTTATATGTTAAAAATTTATAAATTACTTATATTTTTTTTAATCTAGTTTTAGCCATTAAATTCAGAATAAATAATATTAAAAAAAGTAATAGACTAAATTAAAAAAATATATAAAATAAAGATTAATTCATAATTTTTTTATATGCAAATAATAACTTATAAATTTAAATTAAAAGTATTTTTATAAATTTGTGATGCATCTTTAGTCTATGTCTTAATTTTATAATTCACTCACACTTTTTTCTTTACTTTTAACTCTAATTTCATTATTTTCATTCTTCTTATTTTATCTATGTAAATGAGGATATAGTCTTCTTCTTTTTTTTAATTTTTCATCCTCAAAACTCAATCAATTTTTAATAATTTTTGTTTAATTATTTTTTCTTTTCAACTACTTCGTCATTTTTACCCTCACATTCACCTACTCTAAACTTTAATATTTCATCAAAACTTTTTTTTATCCTCAAATACACCTTCATTGACGTTGTTAGCAATAGAATTAATAATGCATTCATCTACACTTTTATCCACTCTTTTAACACTATCAAAATCAAGATACAAACTAAATTTGTATCACCAATTTACAAAAATATTTTTGACTCAAATTTATAAATTAGTTCGTACACAAATTTATCTTTTTTTAATTTTTAAAACTAAACATTTTTTTTATTTCTCTTAGTATCATAATTTGTTTACTTAAATAATGTGTTTTTAAAAATAAATTTTTAAAATATAGTTTTTTTTAAACTAATTTTTTGTCTGATATTTTTTTTATTATTTTAACAAATTATTATCTCAGTATGTCTGACTACATCAAAGACTACCATTTGTTGTAACTATATGTATATCAAATGAGATAGAATAATAATAAATTATTATTATTATTATTTTAATACTATAATTGCAGGTAGTCTATTTAAAAAAAAAAGAAATTTATATTAGTTTGAGTATTTTATTTAATTTAAATCTGATCATTAATAAAATAATAAATTATAATTTATTAAATTTAAATTAAATAAAAAATTTAAATTAAATATAAAATACCGATTTAAGAATATTCTGCTCCTTAAAAAAAAAAAAAACTATCCTCCCAAACCATCTTATACTTATATTTTTTATTATTACCTGCTTTTGAATGGACGCTTGATCACCTGGACTCGCCCGTACCCAATCCTATCTTCAAGCTTGTTCTTCTTTATGCTAAGAACTCTGTTGCCTCTTCTGTTGGCTTCGTTGGCCCTGGTAAGTAACTCTTCCTTTTCATTATTTTTATCAATTTATGGTTTTTGTTGTTCATTTTGTGACATTGTTTCGTAGGAGCCGCTGAGGTCTTGTCTGTTGTCGATGCGGATTTGAGGAGAACAGCTACCAAAGTTGTTGAACAAGCCAAAGAACTCTGCTAGAAGAAATCCGTATGATATTTTTAAAAAATATTCTTATAAAGCATCATAAAATTTAATACAGGGATAGCATTAAATGTTATAGTTTTATTCTATAAACATTTATGAATTATTAACTTTTTTATAATATATCCTTAAATAATATTTAAAAAAATTATTTATGTAATGCTCATGATTTATAATTTTAAAGTTTTTTTATTTTATACAAACACGTAACTGTATATATTTATGCTACGTATTCCTTGTCTGCAAAAAAAGTATTGTATGACGATTATATTAAAATAATTATTTTAATAAATTTAAAATTGTTTAAAATAATAATTTTTTAAATATTTATAAAAAATATAATTATCATGATAATAATAAAATATACAAATATTAAATATTATATGACAATAATTTATTAAAATACTAATAAAAATTATTTATTTTATTTTGTTTAATATACATATAATTATAATATGTGTTAATCTTTAATGTAGTATAAGATATATTGAGATAATAAGTTATTATAATAATAATAATATACTATCATGTGTCCACGAAGGATACTATTGCTGATTTAAAAGAGAAAAACATTAAATTAAAAATTAATTTTAAAAAATCCTATTTAAGAAATTATTTTTAAAAATATTATTTAAGGAAAAAAAAGCATACTATCGGAGCATAGATTAAAAAATAAAATATTAAACACATTTGAACGGGCCAGAAGTGATTGTACATGGTGACCGACGTGGGAGCTGAAATGCCCCGTCACAAGGCTATGTAGTCCCTCAATGATGGGAAAGCCACGACAGAGGATTCAGACACGGTCAACGTGGCACTTCCACCACCGCTGATACATCTCATTCGTTAGCCCCACTTCTCGTTCTCTTTCTCTTTCTCTTTCACTCCCACTCTCCCCTCACTTATACTCATGCCTACTCCGGCACCCACTACGACCCTACCTACTTTAAATAAATCGTGCTGCTTCCTTCCTTCCTTTGCATTTGTGCTATATGCCAGCTCCAACACAAGACGAGGTTCTCACATTTAAAAGTTAACTACTTCGAACATGCACACACCCTTGCATCGCCATTATTCTTAGTGAGAGAGGTAGCCATTTCCAAAACTAGTTTGTTGTGTGCGTTGTACGTACCATATTTGACAAAACAATCACTGGGCCAACAAATTAGCATACCTCTGATATGGGAAGGGCTCCTTGTTGTGCGAAAGTGGGTTTGAAGAAGGGGAGATGGACCGCAGAGGAGGATGAAATTTTGACCAAGTACATTCAGGCCAACGGAGAAGGTTCCTGGAGGTCATTGCCCAAAAATGCAGGTATAAATTTAATCAATGACTTCAAATAATGACGTTTATTTTAAACTTTTGATGTAAATCACAGGTTAAAATTAAAGTAATTGTTTCCTAAAATTAAGAATTAAAAGTGAAAAATATTTACATCTTGAGATATCAAGATTAGTATTTACACTGTATATTTGTTGTGTGACCTTCCAGCTATAAGGTTTACCGTTGAATGCCTGATTTGTGTTGTTGATTGGGTTTTCTCTTACCGGCATTTTAATTTTTTTCATTCTTAAGGATTGCTGAGGTGTGGGAAGAGTTGCAGATTAAGATGGATTAATTATTTGAGAGCTGATCTCAAAAGAGGTAACATTTCTGTTGAAGAGGAAAATATCATAATGAAGTTGCATGCTTCACTTGGCAACAGGTACTCTCTCTCTTTTTTATTATCAATGTGTCAATATTAATTTCATGCTTATTTCTGGGACTCACTCCAGTTACTTTCATATTTTTTAAGAAAAAAAAGAAGAAGCTGTTTGCTGTTGTAGTAATAAAAACAAATTAAGCAAATGTCTGAAGGCTTGTTTTAGGATGCAAAGCGACGAACAGTAACTACCGTTGCATCATTTAAAATTTCTTAAGATTACAAGAAATAAAATTAGAGCAAATTTTTTTTCGTTTTTTTAAAGTTAATTTTAGATTTAATTTTCAATACATTAAAGTCAAAAAAATGCAATGAATTATTCATTCTATGTTTTTTGTATTATAAAATATGAAAAAAAATGTGCGTCAATATAAATTTGATTTCGTTTTGTTTTATTGAAAAATTTCTTTTGAACGAAATATAAAAGTAACATAAAGTTTGACTTGCTTATTTCGTTTTGTTTTTACATAAAATAATGACAAAATTAAAGGAAAAGTATTTTTATGCTTAAAAATATAATAAAAAATAATGAATATGTTATAAGTATGATTCTATTTAATTAAAATTTAGCAATAAAAAAGAAAAATTGAAATTATAAAATTTCATTTTTTAATTTAATTAAATTGTAAAGTTAAATTATTAACTTTTAAACAATTTAGGTCCCTCCGGAGGGTATGCTCCAAAGGGCGCATGCAACTCGTGGTTTGAAAGTAAAATATACTATTAATAATTTTATATTCTAACTTTATTGCGAAAAATTTTTAGGTGGATCCGGATACTTACGCCTCGTCGTGCATTTTTTTTTATATATAAAAATACATATATGTCGTGAAACTATTGGTCAGGTGGTGGAGGTGTAGAGATTAGAAAATTTTCTCCTTAACTGCCATTGAATTTAATGGTGGTGGCCTCTGCACAAACTTAAATGCTGCTCCTTTGCAACCTGCAGCCATTTCTCACGTATTACTACTTTCGTTTACCAATTTTCTTATGCAAACTTTTCCTCAATTTATGGGATCAATTTTAAAGATTTAAGAAATCTATTTATGAAATTAAAAATTATAATTATTGTATAAAACGATATTTTTTAATAAAAATCATTATTTTAAATTCGTAAAATAAATTTCAAAGATTAACTTTAATAAAATCATTTCAAACGAAATAATCTAACATTATATTGATTTTTATTTAACTCTTTATTTTAAAAATTATTACGAAATACCTTAAATATTTTTAAAGTCATGAACAAAACTGCTGCATAAAAAAAGTATATAACAAAACTGTAAAAGAAGAAGAAGTAGAAATGAAAAAGACATGAAAAAGTTTCTGATACCGACTTGGTAACTTCAGGTGGTCGTTGATTGCAAGTCACTTGCCCGGAAGAACAGACAACGAGATTAAAAACTATTGGAACTCTCATTTGAGCAGGAAAATTTACAGTTCCCGTGGAACAAGTAACAAAGAGATCATCACTCTCCCACCTAAGCGCAAAGGTGGTAGAACAAGCAGGTGGGCCATGAAGAGGTCCAAAACCTATGCCCAGAAAAGTACTAATCTATTAGAAAGGCCGAAACCTAGTGACACTGATCACATCCACAATAATACCGAAGCAATTCCGCTCCCACCCACTCCGACACTAGAGAGCGAGAACTTGTCTAGCACTATAATGGATTTAATGGTTTTGGACGAGCATGAAAGGGAAGAACTAGGTGATGGGCCGAGTACTAGTGCCCATGATCACCAAGAAAGTACTATTCAAGAAGAAAATGAAGGCACTGTGTTGTTACAGTGCCTCAACGGTGAGAAAAATGGAAATTTAACATTGGGACCGCATGACGAGGATATTATTATTATTAATGATGGAGAAGTGTGGAATTTTAATGATATATTGGACACGAGTTGCGTGCTAGAAGCAAGTGGGGAATTGACCTGTATTAATGACGATAATGAAGTTGTTGATGTGATGGGAAATGAAAGAGGTGACACGTGTAATGACAAAATGGGGTCTAGTGAGGAGGAGCGAGAGAGTAGTGGGAACCACAGCACGAATGGGGAGTTGCATTCTTGCGCTTCAATGGCTTCGGGCTTAGATGATTGTAACTGGGACTGGGAAAGGGTCATGCAGACGGATCATAAAGATGAGTCGGTGTTATGGGAGCACAGTGAAGACTTGTTGAGTTGGCTGTGGGAAGATCAAGACTGGGAAAAGGATTTTCAGAACTTTGGAGAGATTGGTCCTGAGGAACAAAATGCATTTGTTTCTTGGTTTCTTTCTGAAGCTGATGTGTAATCTCTTTATGAGCATGTATTCTCAGCTATTTTCTTTCCCTTTATTTGATTTTAGGATGTCAAAACTATGAACATCTTACCACTTCAGAGAAGAATATGTAATTACATTTACACCGATCTATTTCTATCAGATTTAAATCATCTTGTAAAATGTGAAATTACGGATTGAAAACGGGTAATATTTGATTTTTTTAAAATATAGGTAAAATATGATAATTTGATCGATAAAATTTGGGAGGAGATTTCGAGAAACAATAATTGAGAGGCATAAGAACAGATTAGGTAACTAAAAAAAAACTATTATAACTACTAAAGAAAAAGTTAAGACACTGAGATTGAATAAAAGATATATGAATATAAAAAATACAAATTAGTCATGATTAATAGATTAAAAGTGTACTTACACTCTAAAATTTTTTATTTTAAAAGCAAATTATTTATTATATTTGATATGATATGTTTTTATTAAATGGAAAATTTTAATTTTAATTAATAAGAATTATAGATAACAAATTATTTTAATCTATAATATAATATAAATCTGTATTTTGTCAAATAACCTATTGAAGTAATTTCCCTAAGAAACCCAATAATAAAATTTCCCATCTCTCGTACTAACGGTGGCTTTGTATAAATTACTTTTTTTTTAATTTATTATTATTATGTATAAAAGTTGTTAAGCAAATTTTATGTAAATATTATTATTTTTTCTATTTTTATTTAAATAAAAATGTAATTAAACATTCAGTTAGTGCCACAATTAAAAAAAGAATCTATATGCCTTTTACATGTATTGAGTTAGTATCTAATCAAACAAATCAAATCATGCCTACTTACCTTTAACTTTATTAATTAAATAAGTTTAATTTTCATTTTTTAATCATATTACATGTTTTTTTAATTTTATTCTAAATATAAACATTCAAAGAATATTTAGGTAACAAATTTCATTTTAAGTAACAACCCACGGCTAAGAGTGTGAATCTCAGTAACGTGCAAATGGATCCATGACAAAGACTACTGTTATGGTCTGTTTGTAATAGTGCAACACTGTTCATTTTGTAGTAAGGGTAAGATTAAAACAAAATTGTGAGATCCATTGGTTTATTTTCTTTATATCTAAAAATAAAAAACATCGAAACTAAAAAAGGATAATTAAACGTAAACTTACCCTGCACGTGGCCGTGCCTTCCTCGCATTCTATGCATAATTTGTTTACATTTGAGTACCTTCTGCTTTTCAGTCTGTGGACTGTCGAATCGAGTTTATTGCAGTTTCCGCTTGCCGCCAAAATTGTTGTTGAAGTGCAAATGAATGCTTTGGTCCATCACTAAGAGGCTTTTATATATATATATATATTACTAAAATATTTTTTTAAAATTATAAAAATATAATTAAAAAATTGCATAATATTTAATATTTTTTTTGAAAAATCAACCAAACAAAATTTAAATTTTTTAAAAAAAATTATTGATAAATATTTTTAAAAATTTGAAACTTTTTATCATCAGTATATACAAAAATTATAATTTTTTATATTTATAAAGTTTATATTTTCATAATTTTTTTAAATATTATATTTTATTATTTATAACTTCCAATTTTCATAAATATGAAAAATCAATCTCAATAAAAAAAAGTTTTCAGTAATATATATTAAAATTATAATAATTTTAAAAATATATAAAAATTTAAAAAAATTTATTGTAAATGTAAATTTAAAGATAAAATAGTTAAAAATTATTATAAAAAATATTTTAACTATAACTTTAAAAAAATAGAAAACACTAATAAATTTAAGAAAGTAATGTTTAAGTGAAATTATTCACAATCAATCTTTTTTGAAAAAAATAACTTTCTCCATTTCAATTATAACAATAACTGTAAATATATGTAAACCCTAAAACATAAATTTTCATTGTTACACAAATATTATCTAATTGGATATCTTATCCATATATAATATTTTGAAAAAAATTTAAATGTAGGTGTTATTTTTCATACATCAATTTATTACTTTTTAAATAATCTTAATTTAAATTTTAAAATTAACATATTTATTAATATATATATATATATATATATATATAATAATCCTCATTTAATTGATAAAACTTTTTGTTAAAAAAATAATAAAATTATAGACCTCTAATACACTTAATTTTCAAACTTCAGTTTTATTTAAAACTTTAGAGGATATAAGAAAGAAAATATTTTTAAGATAATGAGAAGAAACGATGATTAATATAAATTATTTAATAAAAAGTTATAAAATATAAAATAAAAAAATTAAAAGCTTTTTTCATCATTTAATTTTCTTTTCTTAAATTACATAAACCTTATATTCTTTCTTTTTCTCCAGGAAAAAAAAAAAATCATCTTCCGACGAAAGTCTCGGTACTAATCACACGGTCAGGATTTAAAAAAAAAGATTTAAATTGAAAATTTCACTGAGTAAATATGGATTTTGGTTTATTAACGGTGTTTAGATATAAATAATAAAATAAGTCACAAAACAAAAATTAATAATTAATATGATATTTTTAAATTTGAAAAACTGAAATATTTAATATTTACTATCTATGACTATGAGTTGATTTTTTCAAATTTTTTAAGTATAAAACAGGTTAAGAATTAAGATAATTTACTATTAATATCATATATCTATTAATCTATTATTCTCAATAAAATCTTAATCCCATTATAAATACTAAAATATGAAATGTAAAAGAAATTACGAAGATATAAGAAATTTATAAAATTTAACAAAAAATATTATTAGTAATTTTTATATATGTTAAATTAAATTTTTAAAAAATATTATTGACAAGAATTTTTAGTTTTTCTATTTTTTAATAACTTTGTAAATTTTTTTATTTTTTTTAATGTTTTTAAAAAATATTTTTTAAATATATATTTTTTTAATTAAATTTTAGAAGTTAGATCAACATAAAACGTGGTATAATTGTATAATTTTGTATTTGTTAAAGAAGAAATTGAATAAAAAAATTAATTTCATTTATATAGTAAATAAAATAAATGTAAACGTGACAAAAAAAAATCAAACAAAAAATATATTTTAAAAAATATTATTTTAAGAATTTAAAAAAAAAATTTAAAAAATTAAAAAATCAACTAAGTAACTATTTTATATCTAAATATTTTCATCTCATTAAAAATTATAAATAGTTATTTGTTGAAAAATTTAAATTCTATATTTTTATATATTACTTTAAAATATCATATAAATAAAAAATATTTGTAGTTGTAAATTGACCGATAAATTTTAAAAATACAGACACACGTTTTAGTGGTGCATGATCACAAACCTTTTCCGCTTGTCAGAGCTTTCATGAGAGACGGCTGACAACAGTCCCACGTAGAAGAGGGGGCGACATTGATATTACTTTGCTGTTTCATAAGTGGAAATTAAGACCAGGCCCCACTAACATTTTTAACTTGGTGGAACCCGGTCTTCCCTAAATTGTCAGCATCCTTGTCTTCATTCGATAAAAGTCAGCATTTATTTTAATATTTTTTAATTATTTATTAAAATTTATTATAAGTTCAAAAAATAACGTGAGTTTCATTTTTTATTATAATTTAATTTTTTAAAATATTTTCTAATTGTGTTAAATTATTTTTTAATTACAAAAGGAAGTAAATAAGTATAATTTTTTTAATTTTAAAAAAAATTATTTCTCCAAACACATAAATATAAATATATATATATATATATAATAATAGATTTTGTTAATTTCAATATTTAAGATTGAGTTTAAGCATTTATTAATAAAAAAATTTATACAATTATTATATTAAAGTTATAAATAAATAATAAATAAATTTTTTAATAAAATTTTATAATTATTAGCTGCTTATAAAAATTAAAATTAAAAAATTCTAAAATAAATATATAATTTTTTTATAAAAAATTATTTATAAATATTTAAACTCTTCCAGGTAGGTTTTGTTAGTAAAACAGCAAATGCGCTTTAGTCGATCGAATGAAACAAAAGAAGAAATGGACTAGCAACTTGATACCTAGTAAATGAATCAACTTGTAGCTGGCAGCTTGCAGCTGCATGTCCTTATCACTATTGTGTATCGATTCCTTCATTTAACCTTTTCAATCCCCATATTCCTGTTTTGTTTGGTGCAATTAAACTTACAAAATATTATGTTGTAAGACTATGTTATAACTTACAATTTGCGGTTGCTTCAGTTGCTTACATATTTATGGTCCCGATGGTTAAAAGCAAAAGACATCAAGGAAACACAAAACTTAGCAATACTGTTGAACGGTTGAACCCATGTTTAGTCGTACGTCAACGTAACTACTAGAAAATAGTAGTAATCATTTAAAGGAATGATTTGCGAGACGAAAGCTATATACGTTCCTTTGCATATTAATTGTCTATGACTAAAAATAAATAAATAAATAAATAATATTTAAATTCAATTTAAATTCACATTCTACGATTAATTAGATGGAGCTAACTTAATTAAGAAAAGACGAATAGATTCAATAAGCAAAATACATAATTAAATTGAGCTTAAATTTTCAAATATGAGCTTTATATTTCAAAACGAATTTGAAAAAGGTTACTACATATACCTTGAATTGGAGCAGTTAATAGAAAACGAGAAGACCTGTTCAAAGAAGTCTTGTCAAAGCATATTCCTTCGTTCTTGCTAGTTCTCATCCACATTCCACGCCTCCAATTCCGCCTCCACATTCTAATATTCTCTTTGCCCTCTCTAATTCTATAACCACCCCTTTATTTCAGTTTCACTCTATTTTTTACTTGTTTCTTGTATTGCCCCTCCATTTCAACGAAGAAGTGTGTTAAATAGAGTATATTCTAACATTTTTAATATATTTTTATTATTAGTTAAAATTAATTAAAAATATAAACTTAGAATTAAGAATAAGATTCATAATTTTTAATAAAAAATATCATCTTTAAAATAATGTATATGAGGAGCACGGGATGGTTTGGTCATTAAATTTGTCAAATAATGCGTGGCATGCAAACCCATGATAGACAACCCAAAAAATCTCTAAATAAAGATTGAACAACTCGAGACCTAAACCATGCACCAATGAACTGCTGAGAGGCACCCTCTCTCTCCCCATTTATATAAAATGGCAATAGTGATTGCAGCTTATTTCTGCTATATAAACTTGTTTGTGACCTATTATTTCCTTCAATAATTTCAACTGGTTAACCTCCCCTGCTTGTTGCAGGGGGTGAGAATATCACCTTAAATTCATCCTCTCCTCTCCTCGCTTTCATCATTCTCTTCACACTTCATTAATTTATGGAACAAACCCTTGAAAGCACTATCATTATCAATAACAATATTCCAAGCAATACCAACGCTCTTCATGATGATGGCCAACACAAACATGAAACCCGAAAGAGAAAGAAGGGTGCCATGCATGTTCTTAGGGTCGCACTCTTCATATTGAGAGGACGTTCCCGAAAATCAAAAGTGCTTCAAGTAAATGATGAGTCCAAAAGCATTTGGAAGAAACTTGTTGGATCCATGAGACCCTTGCACCTTCAAAGCGACCAATCCTCGAGCTCGTTTTCTCAACCTACTATCACCCTGCCGTCAACGGGCTCCGACGGCTATGTTTCCGATATTCCGGCGTCTGAGGAGGAGCCTTATTCACCTTCTCCGACTAGCAGTCGTTACGCTTCAGCGGTAGGTTTGAACGAACTGGTGCAGGGTGATGAGGAGAATGAAAAGAAAGAGGTGATTGTGGAGGAATGTGAAGAACATGATGACGGGGATGAGATGATTGATGCCAAGGCTGAGGAGTTCATTACACATTTCTATGAACAAATTAGGTTGCAGCGTTTGGAGTCCCTGGATCGTCGCTACATAGAGTGGAATCAGAGGTCATTAGGCTGATGATCGTTGTCGCCCAAAATTTCTGCATGCATGTGTACATGGATATCCAAGATTGAAATCACTTTTCGGCGTTTGGTGCCTTTGTCTCTGTTCCGTAATTAAAAAATAACACGAGGTTAAAAAAGATATTTTCTCACCTAAAGTTTGGGTTTTTTGCTGAAATGTCAGTTTTTAATTAAGGAACAAGGAAGGAGACACCAAACGAGAATAGGTAATTTGGTTTGGGATATTCATGTCCTCTCTTAATTTAGAGTACTATACTCTTTCCGTTAATTACACCCTTGTATACGTATTATTTTTTTCTTTCTTTCTTTCAATTTGTTATTGTTGATAGAGGAAATTTGAAGGCAAAAGAGATTGTGTTTGTGTGAAGATGGAGTTCTAGGGATTAATTGCATGGAATTGTTATGATATTAGGGAGAGAAATGAAGTTAGCATGATAACTCTTAATTTGTTTGTTTTAGGTGATTCTTGATTGAAATGAACTACTTCGCGGAAGGAAATGTCACGTGTTTGTGCGCCTTTCACTTTTTTGCTTGTTTTTATTTAGTGTGGTGTATTTTTAATTTAATCTAGGGATTTAATTTGATGATATCGGTGCTCAAATAATTTCAAATATTTATAGTAGCGTGTTGTGCGTAGACAAAATGAAATTGAGTGTTAGGTTGAGTGCAATCCACTTTTTTCAATATATTTTATGGAATTTTTGTTCAAGTTAAAATACTTATAAAATTAAATAATTATAAAAAAATACACTAAAAAAAAGTATTTCATTAAAAAATTCCATATCATGTTTCGCTCCATTCTCTTTAATTTCACATGTAGTTGTTATATTAAAAATTAATATAATAAGAAATTTTTTAGACTTAATTATAAAAATCATAAACTTATTTAAAGATGTATTAGTCAATAATTTTTGTATATTTTTATTTTATTACAATATTTGTATAGTGAGACGGTCGCGTATTTTTCATACAAATAAATATAACCATTTCAACCATTTAATATTATCAATAATTTTGAAATAAATATAAATTTATAACATGTAATTATTTTTTATAGTAATCCTCGTTAATGAATTAATTATTCTATCACATTCTAGATTAGTAAGAGAGACTAATGTCTATATATGATTTTTGTCACTGTTAGGACAATTTCGAATAATAGAGGTCCTACACTATATTGTTTTATTCAAAAATGATGAAAAGGTATAATTTCTGCTCTATATTTTTTCGCCTTATTTGCAAGAAACCGGGAATTCCTTCGCAAGGGCATAGATGAAATGGATCACACGTAATGATATGTATATCACAAAACGAAAAAAGGTTTCATGAACTCAAGGCCCAAAGTGTAAGGCCCAAAAAGGTCCATATCCTCATTGCAGTAGCCCGCAAAATTGCAAATGTTTTTTTTTCTTAAATTATGAATTTAAATATTTATTATTTAAAATTATGTAATCTCGTAATTGTTTCCTTTATTAACCTCAGTGCTATGACTGATTTTAAGTAAAATTTTGTTGAAATTTGTTTATTATATAAAAAAATATAAGAAATATTTTATTTTCTTATAAAATCTTATTGTTATATGTTAAGACCCAGCCTTAAGAATTTACATTTTCTTAATTTTTTAATTCAATCATTATCAATCATGTAATATTTTCCTCTTTTAGTCAAAATATACTTAAATATCTTAATCAAGGTTAAGTATAATGAAGTATTTGCATATCATCGTTAAAAGAATAATCTACCAATAAAAGTAGTTTGAAATTTTCTCGAAGTTAAACAATTATCATATTTATATTTGTAGTAAACTATTTTTCTTAAAATATTAATAAATTTATGTTTCCTATGTTTCGGATATATTTATAAATTAATGCAATGTAGTGATATTTACTTGTTGCTATTTTCAAATCTTGAATATTATTTTCCATCAAGTCATACAAATATTACCTTCAACATTGAATAGGCTTTTTTGTACACAATGTTCTCAACACAGGTAAATAAAATGAAGAGTGATTTTTAGTGCCAAACAAACAAGAGCTTAATTTGACCAAACAAGTTAGCCTAAATATTGGATCCTTTTTTATCATTTATGTTTTCTTCCTAACCTGATAGACTTTCACTTTGACGTTGACTGTGATATGTTGGATGATCATACTTACGGTCTTGGAAAATTTAGGCGAACATGACAGCAAGAGATAACGACAATATTCTTTTCTTTATATGAGCACAATAATTTGAGAAGTTTATTACTTCCTTCAGGTGATAGGACAAAAATATGACAATAAACATCAATCACGAGTGAGAAACTCTCAATCACGAGGTTTTATATATTCAAAATTTCTTATCAGGATGAAATGAGCAGGACGATATTCTTGTCACGGCTGGTCTGCTCGGATTTACCTTAGAACAGTGACCTTCATAATTAAGCAAAAACATTGTTCACAATTTTTCTATTTTTCGTTTTCATATTTCAGCACACGAATTGACCCAATATTTGGCCCTGTTTATATTAGACATTGGAAAAAATATATCATTCTTGAACTTTTTAATGTAAACATATGATTCAAATTATACTTGAAAAACAGGACATTAACCACACATCCGTACATTGCAAGATTTAGGAATACATTTATATTTAAAAAATGTAAATGGAACTTGGTATTTGACAAGGAGCAACCTTTTACATAAAAATTTCGATTTTTTTTATAACTCTACGACGGGGCTCTAATTTGATGGAGGCCCCATGATACAGCAGCAACAAGATAATCCTGCGTTCAAGCTTACTTTTCTTTCAATCCCGAACAATTGAAAGGGGTTTAAGTAAAAGGGCAAAAAACAAAAAAGGGGGAAACGAAAAATTGAAGAAGAAAAAAGGAAAAGAACCTCTGCTTGCGGTGTGAGGAGTGAAGTCTCGTCATCAAGACATTGCCACGTCATGACATGACGTGGCAGTTGTGATTCTGAGCAGTAGAACTAATAGCCATTAGCGACCTGAGAGCACTTTTTCTTGATCCATCGGAGGCCTTTCCGGAGCGTAGCTTTAACCTTCCCCTCTACGCCGTAAACATTGTATTTCGCTATCCTCTTCTTCCTCTTTGCTTCTGGATCGCTCAATCTCCAAGGTTTTTCACTCGCCTGAGTTGGATCTGGCGACCGTGTCCCGCTCGAACCGTAGCTTTTCCCGCTCACAACCTCCATCCTCCGGTCCCCGCCGAACGGACGGTAACCCGACCCGCACCCGTCCATGTGCTCCTGCTGGGAAAGGGAAGGGAGCGTAGGCGTAGGGGGTTTTATTTTAGTATTTGAGTATATTGAGTTAGGGTTTGGAAGTTTCGAGAAGGAATTGAGTTGAAGGGGTATATTGGGAAGAAGATATAAGGAAAGGAAGCGCCGAAACGTGTGGTGTGGCGAGGAATGTGAAATGTTTTGATCTTTGAAAATCTCTGCTCGGAATCTGGAACGGTTCTTTCCGTGATGAAAGAAACAATGAACTCTCTTTTTTAAGACTTTGTTTTGGTTTATTCAAATTTCAAGTAAACAAAATGGCCACTTATGTATGCGGCAGTGTTTGATACTCGGGTTGCAGTAAAACCAGCGACTTTGTCCATTTTTGTGGCGTTTTAGCACATCTTTTTAAAAGGAAAAGTTTTTCCTGTGCAGTGCTTCAAAATCCATGTGTGATGATTCATTTTGCATACGACGTCATTTCCGGAGTCCACCGAATTTGATGTGGTCCTCAAATCCCAATGGAATGACTATTTTCCGGAAAAGATCTCACGATACTCGCAAGTCGTAAGGCACCCAACAATGACTTGAAGGAGCTCAAGCATGGTGAATAATACCAAATTATTCGGTAAACACTTGATTCCTACTTTCTTCAATGTGTGAGCTTTTTTTGTTTTTTTGTTTTCCCTTTTGGATCAAGTATCTGTCTCTATATCTTTCAGATTGGTACAAGTTTGATTTTTGAGATGGCGCACAAGAGTCATTCACTGTTTAGGCCCAAGAGTACTGGGCCATGAATCCCGTAATGAATTGGGTCCTGATATATGAACCTTTTTTTTTTTAAACGAGGCATTTGTTTTTGGCGTATATCTTATCTCAATTCTATGAACAAAAGAGAAAACATTATTGTTTTAAAATGGGTAATGCTTTTCTCACACGATTTTTGCACCACAAATTCTTAAAATTTGAGAGAAAAAGAGAAAAATGGGAAACAAGCTGCGTGTTATAATAGAAAGAAATAAAGGAATAAAATGAATTATAAAACGTGTCGTGAGAATTTGTTAATAAATTTGAAGATTACTCTCTAATTACAAAATTAGTCTAATTCACAATAGACTACGACAACGGGAAATATTTTATCGTCCTTTGCCTTTTACAGAACTTCGATTCCAGCATACGCGTTAGTTAATAGTTACATTCCTCATGCAATAAAGCAATTACTTTGGTATAAGGATCCCCTTCAGTGAAAGAACTATATCGTAAACAAGTAACTTCTCATATTTATATGCAAGTTTAGGGTGTAGTAAAATGAAATATAAGGAGTGGGGGGAATTACCAATTAGCACTACGCCTTCCCCTACTACTGATTGGATCTCAATTGGTAAAGCAAACAGAAAAAGATACGATAAGAAAGTGATGCAACAAGAAACTAACACTAATGATAATAGTAATCAATCTGACAGGGATAATTTGAGATGTACATCAACATTAACACCAACATGCGAGTCTGGAGAAAAATGAGGGACAATAGGAGGAGACTGGAGTGCAGTGGGGGAGGCATAAAGCTGAAAAGGAAAGCAAGGAGTGGTAGAACGATAGGAGGAGGAAGGAAGGAAAATGGGGCGTGATGGAAAGTGGTGGAGAGTGATAGGAAGATGAGTGGTGGGGGGTGAAGGGGGTTGTTGTTGTTGTTGTTGTTGTTGTAAGTAAATGGAGGGTAGTGTGAGGAGAGGTGTGGATCGTCTATGAGTGTGGATTTGGAAACGCCTTGCTCTTTGACGCTCTTTCTTGTGAGCGTTTTGGTGGCCCCCTAAGGCCTGGGAGTTAGCGAATACTCGCCTGCAATAGTGGCATCTGAATTTTCTGTCCTCTCCAACATCGTATTTTGTATCTGCAAATTCTTCTTGCTCTGTTAGTGGGAAACCAAACAGTTTCGGTCCTGAGGTTTGAATCTCATCAGACATCCTTCTTTTGTTCATCTCACACTCTTCCTACCCTATGCTGCCATATATACACACACACACACGTTAACTGCCAATTCTATATTATTCAAGCAACCCAAAATTCAATAAATCTTTATTCAATTCCTCAATCCACTTACTCCCTCTATTTTTAAATGTTTTTCGCTTCAACCTTTTGTATACTAGTTAAGAAAATAATATATATATTTTTTAAAAAATTAGATAACAAATTAACCATGAAATTATATTATCTCTTCTTGAAATTAGTTTTTTTTAATATTTATCTCTTAAAAGGAAAATTTTTTTAGCTTTATTTTATAAAAATCAACTCTAAATGCTTTCAAGAATGTTTAGAAAGAAAGATGAATAATAATAATAGTTATATGCTTTTTTAGTGTTAAAACGATGGAAGTATTTTGTAATGACTCATTCGTACCCAATCTCGGAGCCTTGGGAAGATTAAAATTCCATTTGGCATTAATAATGCAAATTTTAAAATCCTTTACATTGTTAGTCTAGAGGATTAAGATTTCAAAGTTAAAACTGCATCCTTCCCCTGTTATACTTGTTTTGCTTCTAAATTTGCTGCATAAAAATTTAAGTGTGTGTGGGTAATTTTTTTTTTTGTAAAATAATACTCATTTTAAAGTTTTTTAATACATTTTTTTTAGAATAAGCTAAATCCAAGAACCACGAGAATTCAAGCAAAAATTCGTATATTTTAATTTGAATGGACTGTTAAAAAAATACTATCAACAAATGACGTGTAATAATCATATTATTGAATAATACAGCTTTTTTTCCCCTTTACATTATTATGGTATTCTAGTGAAACTCTTATCAGAATATTTTAAAAATAAAAATTGACATATTTTGAATAACAAAAAGAAATCGAGCATGGGATTTTAAATTTAATCTTGTCTGAATTTTGGGAAACTGGATATGTGCCATATCTATGTCATAATTAATTACACTTCAATAATTAAAGTTAGCATTTTAAAATTTTTTAATATAAATTTAAAGTTTATATCGATATTAAATTTCCTTTACAATTTACTGTTATTAAAATAGTTATTAAAAATCCACTCTAGTATATTAGCTCCACATGAACAAAGAATATATGTACTAATGTTTGGACATTCCTATCAAAATGACGTGTGACAAAAGGCTTCAACATACAGATAATGATTTTAATTGGTGATACGATTCATGTATCAAAATAAAAGGGACCAGGAGAGCGATTTATGCAATGCAGTACTACAGGCCACAGGTCACGCCCGGCCATTGAACGTGTGAAAGTGAAAAAAAAGTTACTAGCACGATAAACACACTGAACCTCTATATGCTCTCAAGTCTTTAATTTTTTCTTTGTCATTTTCCCATTTTCCTTTCCACTCATTATTTGTATCCACTTGTCCAGATCCTCCAGTTGCCGTTGTTAAACGTACTTCAATTCATACTCATAAATGATTCCATGAAGCACAGCCGCGACATGATCGAGGATGTGAAATATGACAGACAAAGACGTAATTGTCACAGCACAGGTATACATCTCCCTTCTTAGGACCTGTTTGGACGAGGAGAAGAAAAATAAAAATTAAAAATAATTCCATATTTTTTATTTAATTAAACAAAAGAATAGTAATTATTTTTTAAAACGATCATGAACGAATTGAGACATACATGTATGTGTATTTTCCCATCAAAATCCAATGGTTTATGGCAAAACTATGTAGTCTTACTCGTTTGCATTTATCTTTGCCATTTGCTCTTTATCCAAAAATCATGGCATTGATTAAAAGGACGCAATGTACTCACTCCCATTACATCACCGCACTAAATGGAATAGGCGTGGCTTCGTAATGGCAAAATGCTTCTATCTGCTACGTGGTAAACCCGCGCTTCTCTGAATAGTTCTTGTTGATAAAAGCACTTCATGTTTAAATTGCCGTGGTTCAATGTATGCGATTATGACATATATCTTCCCTACAAGAATCATTTTGAGGGATGTTTATGAGCTATGATAAGATATATATCCAAACATCCTTCCGTCGTTTTTATAGGTTTGTGTTTTATGTGAACCTATGAGACAATCCCGCTTGTGATGTGATGGCCCTTTTGGCCGATTCATAGGGGTGGAAATGGAAAGGCAAGATAAGGATAGCATAAATAGCTTCACTTTATAATATTTTTTGCTTTTAAACGAATTAATACATTCATTATAAACTTTTTTGAGTCTCCTTACTCCTAAACTTTAAGTTAAGTAACATGAATAACATGAGTCTCCCAAATGGAGTACAAGGGGATGACAAGAATTTTAAACAATCAACATAATTAAAGGAGATTAGAAAGTTAAAGGCCAACACATGTGAGTATGTGATATGACGCTCGACGAACTAATCTTATTTTTCAGCTATTTGAATGTAAATAAGTCTTCTTAACATGTTTTTAATATATTATAAACAGTTATTAAATAAAAATGTGATATATTTAATATTCCATACAGATAAAAAAAAATTAATACATAAGTTTTGAGTAAGTTAGTAGAGATTGTTAAAAAATAATAATGTAGGATGAATTAAATTTAGTTTTGTCAATCATTACCTTCAAATGGTTTTAAATTTAGGAAGTTTTCTTTTCTCAACTAAACTGTTTTCCTTAAAATAATTTTTAAAAAAAATTTAAAAAATAAATTATTATCATGACAAATATTACTCTTATCTATAAAATTGTAGAAAATTACTTATACGTATTTATAAATTATCATTATTCCAATATTTTTTATTCTAATTTTTTAAAATTTTCTTCTTATGATACTATTATTCACGTACTACTTTTACCAAAATATTAATACATTCTTTATAATTATACTAAACACAAACTTTTAAGTAATAAAAAGTTTAATTAAAAAATAATATTTAATGCTGTAAATATTTTTAATAAAAAGATTACTTAGTAATTTTTAACTATTATCCTCAGAACAATGAAAAGCAAAATCGATTATCATTATTCACAGTAAGTAAATCATTTATTGTACTTGGCGAATCCACGGTATCCCCGAACCTCGACACGTGTTGAAGCCTTACCATGTATATATCCGAAAGATGACGAGATTGATGTCGGCCACTTCAACGCGCGTCCTATGTTCACATTCTTCACTCCTCAATTAGGATTGATCAGTGTCTCCCGTAACCCTGGCTCGATCGATTGACCTTTGCTTTGTGAAGAATCTTCACAAGTTGTATGAGAAACCCTTCAAAGTGTCGTAGGGGATCTCTTTAACGATATACTTGTTCATGAGAAGTCTATACATAGTTTTGCACTTTTGCAGCAACTTTTAACACAGCTAGCTAACCAAAAAAATTGATTAAATGGTTTATGCAAAGGGCCCGATTTTCATCATCCCCTTATTTTGAATCATTTCAGTGGACATTGTTTGTATAAATCCATGTGCTGTTTCTGTTTCTTATATGTACTTGGCTACTTTTGCTATGGAATTTTAGAATTCAGATGCATTTGAAGAAGCTAGCTAGCTAGTTCAGTCCCCCCCACCACTCCGTAATGGTGTCAAATCTTGGCTTCCCTCCATGTTTTGGATTCCCGCAGTAGACCAAATCATTGAGAATTGAGTGATGGGTACCTAGCTTGCTATTAGAGGTTATATATCATTAGGTTCAAGCTCATAACCTTTTTTTTTTGTATTGTGTAGGAAATAGGAAATTCAGATAATGATTTTAGATCCCTCCCTATTTGTATGTAAATTTTCATATTTCATTTATAAGACTTGTTAATGTAGATAATAATTGCAAGTTGATTCTTTTACTCTTAAAAGTTTGTAAAATAATATTGAAAATATAGACAGCAACGAAAATGTTTTATAACAAAATAATTGTATAAATATACAACAATAATTCAAATAGGATACCTAATTTGTATTATATTAAAAACTCCTCCATATGTGTTGTTTAGAGTTATATTTTTTTATTAAAAAATATTAAATTTAAATGTTGTTATTTTTTTTTCTTGTGTGTGTGTGTATATATATACCCTCGTCAATTAACAAAACTTTTTCCTTGAATGTGTTCAGATCACTTTGCTTTACACAGGCAATGAAATACATAATGTACAGCATCAAGTACCGCAATTGGCCCACTCCTTTTATTCCCCTCTGGTTCAGTCTACTTGTCTTACATTTTACTTTTCGACAATTTTCACAAAATCTTCGTTGTTAATCATGGGTTGTCTTCTCGCTAAAATTTGAAACAAAACCCGATAATGAATGCATTTGAGACTGACAGATCTCTTTATGCCCACTTCTACTCAGAATTAACAATCCGTAGTCAATCATTTTCAACATAAATTTGCAATCGTGGCCAGTAGTTTTTAAATCAGTTTACAAATCATTCAAATGTATAACCTCAACGTAATATTGTTTGAATCATAATAAAAAAGGAAAATGAAAAAACTGGTAGAGTCTTTAAAATGTAAACAAATTTACGCATAAGAAAATGATATATACATTTCAAGAATTTTTTTAAAGAAAATTCAGTAACGTAAAAATAATTATAAACTTTACGCATTAAAAAATATTATCTGAATAACATCATCTTAAGCATAACCCAAATATCTTTTGTAGGCAGATTTATTTTCATATTATTATTTCCCACTCTTGTACCATCTCTTACATTTACAGCGCATTATGGTTATTCGGTGCCTTGTAATGATTATACGAAGGAACATGCTATTTCATAATGGTATGTCCAGAAAGTAGAAACTAACTCAGCTCGTTCAACCATTTAAAATGCATTTCTGAATATTTATTATGATGAGATATAATTTATACCAATATAAGTTATATTTATTCTTATATTGTATGTAAAATATGATATTTATGGATTTAATTATTGAATGATAATTAGACATTATATATATTTGAGTAAAAATTTATAAATATTAAATAAAAAATTAAATTTTTTATTGTTTTATGTTTCAAATATGTGTGT